TTTTATGGAAACATAAAGATCAAGACAAACAACTGTACACATATTCTACCTTATATACCAGCATTGTGAGTTGTGAATTATTTTTGTTGAAATTATTGACGAAAAACTAGTGGTCACGTAAAACAAATCACATGCAAAAGCAATTTCGAATACAAACAAGTTTTTCTATTGCGAGGAAAGTCTCAATAAACGTCGAAAATATTGACAAAATTTGATGAAAAATTGATCAGTACTTCTAGCAAAAGGTTTTGCCAATGAACATCAAAAATGTAAACTTTAAGTTTCAGACAATAATTTATAAACAAATTCAAGCTGATATGACCAAATTTTTAGTTGTTGATTTTTTCAAAACAAATCTCAATGAAAATAATAAATAGTATACTTTTTTCTATTATAAATTGATTCTTGCTTAGGCAATATACAATTATTGACCATTTTGTATTATTAATTCCAGTAGACTCTTCAAACTCGTCGAATATACTCACACAATTTGACGCAGAAATTGTTGTCCGACTTTTTAAACAGAGGCTTCCGAGTTACCATTAGTTTTTATGGAAACATAAAGATCAAGACAAACAACTGTACACATATTCTACCTTATATACCAGCATTGTGAGTTGTGAATTATTTTTGTTGAAAATATTGACGAAAAACTAGTGGTCACGTAAAACAAATCACATGCAAAAGCAATTTCGAATACAAACAAGTTTTTCTATTGCGAGGAAAGTCTCAAAAAACGTCGAAAATATTGACAAAATTTGATGAAAAATTGATCAGTACTTCTAGCAAAAGGTTTTGCCAATGCACATCAAAAATGTAAACTTTAAGTTTCAGACAATAATTTATAAAGAAATTCAAGCTGATATGACCAAATTTTTAGTTGTTGATTTTTTCAAAACAAATCTTAATGAAAACAATATATAGTATACATGTACAAGTTTTACAATAAACAGTGATTATTGACGAATTTTTATCATTAATTCCAGGACAATCTTCAAACTCGTAGAATATACGAACAAAATCAGAAACAAAAAATTTGGCGACTTTTTTAACAGGTATATCCGAATGACCGTTAGAAAAAAATGGAAACATCAAGATCAAGATAATCAACTGTACAAATATTCTAACTGATATAACTGCGTTGTGAGGTGTAAATTATCTTTCTTGAAAATATTGACCTAAAAAAAGTGGTCACGTAAAACAATCACATGCATAAGCAATTTCGAATAAAAGAACGTTTTCCTATGTCGAGGAAAGTCTAAAAAAAAATCGAAACTAGTGACAAAATTTACAATCAATGGATCAGCGCTTTTATGAAAAGGTATATCCAATGAACATTAAAATGTTAACTTGATATTTCAGACAATAAGTTGTAAACATATTCGAGAAAATATTACTGCATTCTTAGTTAGTGATTAGTTTTGCAATAAATCTCAATGAAAATAATATATAGTATACTTTTTTCTAGTATCAATTGATGCTTCCTTGAGGAATATACAATTATTGACCATTTTGTATTATTTATTCCAGTAGACTCTTCAAACTCGTCGAATATACTCACAAACTTTGAGGCAGAAATTGTTGTCCGACTTTTTTAAAAGATGCTTCCGAGTTACCATTAGATTTTTTGCAAACATAAATATCAAGACAAAGAACTGTAGACATATTCTACCTTATATACCAGCATTGTGAGTTGTGAATTATTTTTGTTGAACATATTGACGAAAAATTAGTGGTCACGTAAAACAAATCACATGCAAAAGCAATTTCGAATACAAACAAGTTTTTCTATTGGGAGGAAAGTTTTAATAAACTTCGAAAATATTGACAAAATTTGATGTAAAATTGATCTGTACTTCTAGCAAAAGGTTTTGCCAATGTACAACAGAAATGTAAACTTTAAGTTTCAAAACAAATTCAAGCTGATATAACCAAATTCTTATTTGTTGATTTTTTCAAAACAAACCTTAATGAAAACAATATATAATATATAATTTTTTACAATAAGCAGTGATGGCTTGCATAAGCAAAACACAATAATTGACGAGTTTTTATCATTAATTCCAGGAAAATCTTCAAACTCGTCAAATATACGAACAAAATCAGAGACAATAATTTCGGCGACTTTTTAAACAGGTATATCCGAATGACCGTTAGAAAAAAATGGAAACATCAAGATCAAGATAATCAACTGTACTTTGTGGCAGAAATTGTTGTCCGACTTTTTTAAAAGATGCTTCAGAGTTACCGTTAGATTTTTTGCAAACATGATAATAATAATAATAATAATAATAATAATAATAATAATAAATTCTTTATTTTCAGAAGGTAACACAGATAACAAAACAGTTAATCCACCCCATGGTCTCCTACATCTACATGATATATTTATACATACACAAAGATAAACAAAACAAAATGCTATTACACTACATGTGTACAAGATCACATATATAGTACAAATAGACCAATACTACTGACATGAAAAAAGTATGACTACAGTAAAGTTATAGCATTTTAACTACAAAAAAATCTCTTCTTGTATATTTAAGAGATAAGATTGACAGTTAGCTTTCAAAATATTTACACTTTTACTTTCTTTCAAATTTAAAGGCAAAGAATTCCACAACAAGGTGCCAGAATACTTAAAAGTTCTTTTACCATAATTAGTTCCATATCGTTGAACGAATATATTATGTTGGGTAGATAATCTTAATGCATATTCATTAACAGTTGAACAGCTTGAAAATAGTTCAGATAAATAATCAGGTGCTAGATTATTCATACACTTATATATCATCACTACATAAAATATTTAATTCTATTATAAATGGTAAGACATCCTTATTATTTAAACATAATCGACGAGGAGATATCAAGCCTTACATTCAAAATTATTCTTGCTGCCCGCTTTTGTAACTTACATAGCTTTTCAATATTAGTTTTTGAAGCATTTTCCCACACGAAACAGCAGATATCCATGACTGAGAGTATATATCCATTATAAAAAAGTTTAATAGAACTTACAGGAAGTTATGCTTTGAGTCTGCTCATAATATGCAGTCTACTTACAATTACTACACAGAGTTTGTCAATTTGATTTTTCCACGAAAGAGATTGATCTATGTGGATTTCTAGCAGTTTTTGGTTATGAACGACGTCTATTTTGTGTTCATCGTCAAATTTGATATTTAATTCTGATTCAAAAGGATTAAGTCTATAAGAACAAATTAACATGACCTCAATCTTATCACTATTCAATATCATATCATTATCATTACACCAATTCATAACATTACAAAAATCTACATTCATAAATACATTTAAATCTGTTAACGATCTAGATGACTTATATAAAGTTGTATCATCAGCAACAAAGCTCTGAAGAAAAATTTTCAAGCACAAATAAGTGATAAATCATTGATAAATATTATAAAAAGTAAAGGTCTTAACATGAAAGCTTGTGGTACTCCTATTTGAATCTCTCCGAAATGAGATTCCATATCATTGATCATTACCTTCTGAAATCGTCCTGATAAATAAGAATTGAATAAACATTAAGACAAACAACTGTACACATATTCGACCTTATATATCTGCATTTTGAGTTGTGAAATATTTTTGTTAAAGATATTGACGAAAATTGAGTGGTCACGTAAAACAACTCATATGCAAAAGCAATTTCGAATACAAACAAGTTTTTCCATTACGAGGACAGTCTCAATAAACGTCGAAAATATTGACAAAATTTGATGAAAAATTGATCTGTACTTCAAGCAAAAGGTTTTGCCAATAAACATCAGAAATGTAAATTTTAAGTTTCAGACAATAATTTATATACAAATTCTTAGTTGTTAATTTTTTCAAAACAAATTTTAATGAAAACAATTTATAGTATGCAAATTTTATAATAAACAGTTATGGCTTGCATCAGCAAAACACAATTATTGACGAGTTTTTATCATTAATTCCAGGAAAATCTTCAAACTCGTCGAATATACGAACAAAATCAGAGGCAAAAATTTCGGCGGTCTTTTTTAACAGGTATATTCGAATGACCGTTTAAAAAAACATGGAAACATCAAGATCAAGATAATCAACTGTACATATATTCTACCTAATATAACTGCGTTGTGAGGTGTAAACTATCTTTGTTGAAAAAATTGACCTAAAATACATGGTCAAGTAAAACAATCACATGCATAAGCAATTTAGAATGAAAGAACGTTTTTCTATGGCGAGGAAAGTATAAACAAAATTCGAAACTAGTGACAAAATTTACAAACAATGGATCAGCGCTTTTATGAAAAGGTGTTTCCAATGAACATTAAAATGTTAACTTGATATTTCAGACAATAAGTTGTAAACATATTCGGGCAAATATAACTGCATTCTTAGTTAGTGATTAGTTTTGCAATAAATCTCAATAAAAATAATATATAGTTTACTTTTTTTCTATTATCAATTGATGCTTGCTTGAGTAATATACAATTATTGACCATTTTGTATTATTAATTCCAGTAGACTCTTCAAACTCGTCGAATATACTCACAACATTTGACGCAGAAATTGTTTTCCGACTTTTTTAAAAGATGCTTCCGAGTTACCATTAGATTTTATGCAAACTTAAAGATCAAGACAAACAACTGTACACATATTCTACCTTATATACCAGCATTGTGAGTTGTGATTTATTTTTGTTAAAAATATTGACGAAAAATTAGTGGTCACGTAAAACAAATCACAAACAAAAGCAATTTCGAATACAAACACGTTTTTCTATTGCGAGGAAAGTCTCAATAAACGTCGAAAATATTGACAAAATTTGATGAAAAATTGATCAGCACTTCTAGCAAAAGGTTTTGCCAAAGAACATCAAAAATGTAAACTTTAAGTTTCAGACAATAATTTATATACAAATCCAAGCTCATGTAACCAAATTCTTAGTTGTTGTTTTTTTCAAAACAAATCTTAATTAAAACAATATTTAGTATACAAGTTTTACAATAAACAGTGATGGCTTTCATAAGCAAAACACAATTATTGACGAGTTTTTATCATTAATTCCAGGGAAATCTTCAAACTCGTCGAATATACGAACAAAATCTAAGACAAAAATTTGGGCAACTTTTTTAACAGGTATATCCGAATGACCGTTAGAAAAAAAAATGGAAACATCAAGATCAAGATAATCAACTGTACAAATATTCTACCTAATATAACTGCGTTGTGAGGTGTAAATTATCTTTGTTGAAACAGTTGACCTAACATAAGTGTTCACGTAAAACAATCACATGCACAAGCAATTTCGAATAAAAAAACGTTTTTATATGGTGAGGAAAGTCTTTAAAAAAAAATCGAAACTAGTGACAAAATTTACAAACAATGGATCAGCGCTTTAATTAAAGGTGTTTCCAATCAACATTAAAATGTTAACTTGATATTTCAGACAATAAGTTGTAAACATATTCGAGCAAATATAACTTTATTCTTAGTTAGTGATTAGTTTTGCAATAAATCTCAATGAAAATAATAAATAGTATACTTTTTTCTATTATAAATTGATTCTTGCTTAGGCAATATACAATTATTGACCATTTTGTATTATTAATTCCAATAGACTCTTTAAACTCGTCGAATATACTCACAAAATTTGACGCAGAAATTGTTGTCCGACTTTTTTAACAGATGCTTCCGATTTACCATTAGTTTTTATGGAAACATAAAGATCAAGACAAACAACTGTACACATATTCTACCTTATATACCAGCATTGTGAGTTGTGAATTATTTTTGTTGAAAATAATGACGAAAAACTAGTGGTCACGTAAAACAAATCACATGCAAAAGCAATTTCGAATACAAACAAGTTTTTTTATTGCGAGGAAATTCTCAATAAACGTCGAAAATATTGACAAAATTTGATGAAAAATTGATCAGTACTTCTAGCAAAAGGTTTGCCAATGAACATCAAAAATGTAAACTTTAAGTTTCAGACAATAATTTATAAACAAATTTAAGCTGATATGACCAAATTTTTAGTTGTTGATTTTTTCAAAACAAATCTCAATGAAAATAATAAATAGTATACTTTTTTCTATTATAAATTGATTCTTGCTTAGGCAATATACAATTATTGACCATTTTGTATTATTAATTCCAGTAGACTCTTCAAACTCGTCGAATATACTCACAAAATTTGACGCAGAAATTGTTGTCCGACTTTTTTAACAGAGGCTTCCGAGTTACCATTAGTTTTTATGGAAACATAAAGATCAAGACAAACAACTGTACACATATTCTACCTTATATACCATCATTGTGAGTTGTGAATTATTTTTGTTGAAAATATTGACGAAAAACTAGTGGTCACGTAAAACAAATCACATGCAAAAGCAATTTCGAATACAAACAAGTTTTTCTATTGCGATGAAAGTCTCAATAAACGTCGAAAATATTGACAAAATTTGATGAAAAATTAATCAGTACTTCTAGCAAAAGGTTTTGCCAATGAACATCAAAAAAGTAAACTTTAGGTTTCAGACAATAATTTATAAACAAATTCAAGCTGATATGACCAAATTTTTAGTTGTTGATTTTTTCAAAACAAATCTTAATGAAAACAATATATAGTATACATGTACAAGTTTTACAATAAACATTGATTATTGACGAGTTTTTATCATTAATTCCAGTAGACTCTTCAAACTCGTAGAATATACGAAAAAAATCAGAAACAAAAAATTTGGCGACTTTGTTAACAGGTATATCCGAATGACCGTTAGAAAAAAATAGAAACATCAAGATCAAGATAATCAACTGTACAAATATTCTATCTGAAATAACTGCGTTGTGATGTGTAAATTATCTTGGTTGAAAATATTGACCTAAAATAAGTTGTCACGTAAAACAATCACATGCATAAGCAATTTCGAATAAAAGAACGTTTTTCTATGTTGAGGAAAGTCTAAAAAAAATCGAAACTTAGTGACAAAATTTACAATCAATGGATCAGCGCTTTTATGAAAAGGTATTTCCAATGAACATTAAAATGTTAACTTGATATTTCAGACAATAAGTTGTAAACATATTCGAGAAAATATCACTGCATTCTTAGTTAGTGATTAGTTTTGCAATAAATCTCAATGAAAATAATATATAGTATACTTTTTCTATTATCAATTGATGCTTGCTTGAGGAATATACAATTATTGACCATTTTGTATTATTTATTCCAGTAGACTCTTCCAACTCGTCGAATATACTCACACACTTTGAGGCAGAAATTGTTGTCCGACTTTTTTAAAAGATGCTTCCGAGTTACCATTATATTTTTTGCAAACATAAAGATCAAGACAAACAACTGTAGACATATTCTACCTTATGTACCAGCATTGTGAGTTGTGAATTATTTTTGTTGAAAATATTGACGAAAAACTAGTGGTCACGTAAAACAAATCACATGCAAAAGCAATTTCGAATACAAACAAGTTTTTTTATTGCGAGGAAATTCTCAATAAACGTCGAAAATATTGACAAAATTTGATGAAAAATTGATCAGTACTTCTAGCAAAAGGTTTGCCAATGAACATCAAAAATGTAAACTTTAAGTTTCAGACAATAATTTATAAACAAATTTAAGCTGATATGACCAAATTTTTAGTTGTTGATTTTTTCAAAACAAATCTCAATGAAAATAATAAATAGTATACTTTTTTCTATTATAAATTGATTCTTGCTTAGGCAATATACAATTATTGACCATTTTGTATTATTAATTCCAGTAGACTCTTCAAACTCGTCGAATATACTCACAAAATTTGACGCAGAAATTGTTGTCCGACTTTTTTAACAGAGGCTTCCGAGTTACCATTAGTTTTTATGGAAACATAAAGATCAAGACAAACAACTGTACACATATTCTACCTTATATACCAGCATTGTGAGTTGTGAATTATTTTTGTCGAAAATATTGACGAAAAACTAGTGGTCACGTAAAACAAATCACATGCAAAAGCAATTTCGAATACAAACAAGTTTTTCTATTGCGATGAAAGTCTCAATAAACGTCGAAAATATTGACAAAATTTGATGAAAAATTGATCAGTACTTCTAGCAAAAGGTTTTGCCAATGAACATCAAAAATGTAAACTTTAGGTTTCAGACAATAATTTATAAACAAATTCAAGCTGATATGACCAAATTTTTAGTTGTTGATTTTTTCAAAACAAATCTTAATGAAAACAATATATAGTATACATGTACAAGTTTTACAATAAACATTGATTATTGACGAGTTTTTATCATTAATTCCAGTAGACTCTTCAAACTCGTAGAATATACGAAAAGAATCAGAAACAAAAAATTTGGCGACTTTGTTAACAGGTATATCCGAATGACCGTTAGAAAAAAATAGAAACATCAAGATCAAGATAATCAACTGTACAAATATTCTATCTGAAATAACTGCGTTGTGATGTGTAAATTATCTTTGTTGAAAATATTGACCTAAAATAAGTTGTCACGTAAAACAATCACATGCATAAGCAATTTCGAATAAAAGAACGTTTTTCTATGTTGAGGAAAGTCTAAAAAAAATCGAAACTTAGTGACAAAATTTACAAACAATGGATCAGCGCTTTTATGAAAAGGTATTTCCAATGAACATTAAAATGTTAACTTGATATTTCAGACAATAAGTTGTAAACATATTCGGGCAAATATAACTGCATTCTTAGTTAGTGATTAGTTTTGCAATAAATCTCAATAAAAATAACATATAGTTTACTTTTTTTCTATTATCAATTGATGCTTGCTTGAGTAATATACAATTATTGACCATTTTGTATTATTAATTCCAGTAGACTCTTCAAACTCGTCGAATATACTCACAACATTTGACGCAGAAATTGTTTTCCGACTTTTTTAAAAGATGCTTCCGAGTTACCATTAGATTTTATGCAAACTTAAAGATCAAGACAAACAACTGTACACATATTCTACCTTATATACCATCATTGTGAGTTGTGAATTATTTTTGTTGAAAATATTGACGAAAAACTAGTGGTCACGTAAAACAAATCACATGCAAAAGCAATTTCGAATACAAACAAGTTTTTCTATTGCGATGAAAGTCTCAATAAACGTCGAAAATATTGACAAAATTTGATGAAAAATTGATCAGTACTTCTAGCAAAAGGTTTTGCCAATGAACATCAAAAAAGTAAACTTTAGGTTTCAGACAATAATTTATAAACAAATTCAAGCTGATATGACCAAATTTTTAGTTGTTGATTTTTTCAAAACAAATCTTAATGAAAACAATATATAGTATACATGTACAAGTTTTACAATAAACATTGATTATTAACGAGTTTTTATCATTAATTCCAGTAGACTCTTCAAACTCGTAGAATATACGAAAAAAATCAGAAACAAAAAATTTGGCGACTTTGTTAACAGGTATATCCGAATGACCGTTAGAAAAAAATAGAAACATCAAGATCAAGATAATCAACTGTACAAATATTCTATCTGAAATAACTGCGTTGTGATGTGTAAATTATCTTGGTTGAAAATATTGACCTAAAATAAGTTGTCACGTAAAACAATCACATGCATAAGCAATTTCGAATAAAAGAACGTTTTTCTATGTTGAGGAAAGTCTAAAAAAAATCGAAACTTAGTGACAAAATTTACAATCAATGGATCAGCGCTTTTATGAAAAGGTATTTCCAATGAACATTAAAATGTTAACTTGATATTTCAGACAATAAGTTGTAAACATATTCGAGAAAATATCACTGCATTCTTAGTTAGTGATTAGTTTTGCAATAAATCTCAATGAAAATAATATATAGTATACTTTTTCTATTATCAATTGATGCTTGCTTGAGGAATATACAATTATTGACCATTTTGTATTATTTATTCCAGTAGACTCTTCCAACTCGTCGAATATACTCACACACTTTGAGGCAGAAATTGTTGTCCGACTTTTTTAAAAGATGCTTCCGAGTTACCATTATATTTTTTGCAAACATAAAGATCAAGACAAACAACTGTAGACATATTCTACCTTATATACCAGCATTGTGAGTTGTGAATTATTTTTGTTGAAAATATTGACGAAAAACTAGTGGTCACGTAAAACAAATCACATGCAAAAGCAATTTCGAATACAAACAAGTTTTTTTATTGCGAGGAAATTCTCAATAAACGTCGAAAATATTGACAAAATTTGATGAAAAATTGATCAGTACTTCTAGCAAAAGGTTTGCCAATGAACATCAAAAATGTAAACTTTAAGTTTCAGACAATAATTTATAAACAAATTTAAGCTGATATGACCAAATTTTTAGTTGTTGATTTTTTCAAAACAAATCTCAATGAAAATAATAAATAGTATACTTTTTTCTATTATAAATTGATTCTTGCTTAGGCAATATACAATTATTGACCATTTTGTATTATTAATTCCAGTAGACTCTTCAAACTCGTCGAATATACTCACAAAATTTGACGCAGAAATTGTTGTCCGACTTTTTTAACAGAGGCTTCCGAGTTACCATTAGTTTTTATGGAAACATAAAGATCAAGACAAACAACTGTACACATATTCTACCTTATATACCAGCATTGTGAGTTGTGAATTATTTTTGTCGAAAATATTGACGAAAAACTAGTGGTCACGTAAAACAAATCACATGCAAAAGCAATTTCGAATACAAACAAGTTTTTCTATTGCGATGAAAGTCTCAATAAACGTCGAAAATATTGACAAAATTTGATGAAAAATTGATCAGTACTTCTAGCAAAAGGTTTTGCCAATGAACATCAAAAATGTAAACTTTAGGTTTCAGACAATAATTTATAAACAAATTCAAGCTGATATGACCAAATTTTTAGTTGTTGATTTTTTCAAAACAAATCTTAATGAAAACAATATATAGTATACATGTACAAGTTTTACAATAAACATTGATTATTGACGAGTTTTTATCATTAATTCCAGTAGACTCTTCAAACTCGTAGAATATACGAAAAGAATCAGAAACAAAAAATTTGGCGACTTTGTTAACAGGTATATCCGAATGACCGTTAGAAAAAAATAGAAACATCAAGATCAAGATAATCAACTGTACAAATATTCTATCTGAAATAACTGCGTTGTGATGTGTAAATTATCTTTGTTGAAAATATTGACCTAAAATAAGTTGTCACGTAAAACAATCACATGCATAAGCAATTTCGAATAAAAGAACGTTTTTCTATGTTGAGGAAAGTCTAAAAAAAATCGAAACTTAGTGACAAAATTTACAAACAATGGATCAGCGCTTTTATGAAAAGGTATTTCCAATGAACATTAAAATGTTAACTTGATATTTCAGACAATAAGTTGTAAACATATTCGGGCAAATATAACTGCATTCTTAGTTAGTGATTAGTTTTGCAATAAATCTCAATAAAAATAACATATAGTTTACTTTTTTTCTATTATCAATTGATGCTTGCTTGAGTAATATACAATTATTGACCATTTTGTATTATTAATTCCAGTAGACTCTTCAAACTCGTCGAATATACTCACAACATTTGACGCAGAAATTGTTTTCCGACTTTTTTAAAAGATGCTTCCGAGTTACCATTAGATTTTATGCAAACTTAAAGATCAAGACAAACAACTGTACACATATTCTACCTTATATACCAGCATTGTGAGTTGTGATTTATTTTTGTTAAAAATATTGACGAAAAATTAGTGGTCACGTAAAACAAATCACAAACAAAAGCAATTTCGAATACAAACACGTTTTTCTATTGCGAGGAAAGTCTCAATAAACGTCGAAAATATTGACAAAATTTGATGAAAAATTGATCAGCACTTTTAGCAAAAGGTTTTGCCAAAGAACATCAAAAATGTAAACTTTAAGTTTCAGACAATAATTTATATACAAATCCAAGCTGATTTAACCAAATTCTTAGTTGTTGTTTTTTTCAAAACAAATCTTAATTAAAACAATATATAGTATACAAGTTTTACAATAAACAGTGATGGCTTTCATAAGCAAAACACAATTATTGACGAGTTTTTATCATTAATTCCAGGAAAATCTTCAAACTCGTCGAATATACGAACAAAATCTAAGACAAAAATTTGGGCAACTTTTTTAACAGGTATATCCGAATGACCGTTAGAAAAAAAATGGAAGCATCAAGATCAAGATAATCAACTGTACAAATATTCTACCTAATATAACTGCGTTGTGAGGTGTAAATTATCTTTGTTGAAAATGTTGACCTAACATAAGTGGTCACGTAAAACAATCACATGCACAAGCAATTTCGAATAAAAAAACGTTTTTATATGGTGAGGAAAGTCTTTAAAAAAAAATCGAAACTAGTGACAAAATTTACAAACAATGGATCAGCGCTTTAATTAAAGGTGTTTCCAATCAACATTAAAATGTTAACTTGATATTTCAGACAATAAGTTGTAAACATATTCGAGCAAATATAACTTTATTCTTAGTTAGTGATTAGTTTTGCAATAAATCTCAATGAAAATAATAAATAGTATACTTTTTTCTATTATAAATTGATTCTTGCTTAGGCAATATACAATTATTGACCATTTTGTATTATTAATTCCAGTAGACTCTTCAAACTCGTCGAATATACTCACAAAATTTGACGCAGAAATTGTTGTCCGACTTTTTTAACAGATGCTTCCGATTTACCATTAGTTTTTATGGAAACATAAAGATCAAGACAAACAACTGTACACATATTCTACCTTATATACCAGCATTGTGAGTTGTGAATTATTTTTGTTGAAAATATTGACGAAAAACTAGTGGTCACGTAAAACAAATCACATGCAAAAGCAATTTCGAATACAAACAAGTTTTTTTATTGCGATGAAATTCTCAATAAACGTCGAAAATATTGACAAAATTTGATGAAAAATTGATCCGTACTTCTAGCAAAAGGTTTGCCAATGAACATCAAAAATGTAAACTTTAAGTTTCAGACAATAATTTATAAACAAATTTAAGCTGATATGACCAAATTTTTAGTTGTTGATTTTTTCAAAACAAATATCAAAAAATAAAAAGGAGTATACTTTTTTCTATTATAAATTGATTCTTGCTTAGGCAATATACAATTATTGACCATTTTGTATTATTAATTCCAGTAGACTCTTCAAACTCGTCGAATATACTCACAAAATTTGACGCAGAAATTGTTGTCCGACTTTTTTAACAGAGGCTTCCGAGTTACCATTAGTTTTTATGGAAACATAAAGATCAAGACAAACAACTGTACACATATTCTACCTTATATACCAGCATTGTGAGTTGTGAATTATTTTTGTTGAAAATATTGACGAAAAACTAGTGGTCACGTACAACAAATCACATGCAAAAGCAATTTCGAATACAAACAAGTTTTTCTATTGCGATGAAAGTCTCAATAAACGTCGAAAATATTGACAAAATTTGATGAAAAATTGATCAGTACTTCTAGCAAAAGGTTTTGCCAATGAACATCAAAAATGTAAACTTTAGGTTTCAGACAATAATTTATAAACAAATTCAAGCTGATATGGCCAAATTTTTAGTTGTTGATTTTTTCAAAACAAATCTTAATGAAAACAATATATAGTATACATGTACAAGTTTTACAATAAACATTGATTATTGACGAGTTTTTATCATTAATTCCAGTAGACTCTTCAAACTCGTAGAATATACGAAAAAAATCAGAAACAAAAAATTTGGCGACTTTGTTAACAGGTATATCCGAATGACCGTTAGAAAAAAATTGAAACATCAAGATCAAGATAATCAACTGTACAAATATTCTATCTGAAATAACTGCGTTGTGATGTGTAAATTATCTTTGTTGAAAATATTGACCTAAAATAAGTTGTCACGTAAAACAATCACATGCATAAGCAATTTCGAATAAAAGAACGTTTTTCTATATCGAGGAAAGTTTAAAAAAAATCGAAACTAGTGACAAAATTTACAATCAATGGATCAGCGCTTTTATGAAAAGGTATTTCCAATGAACATTAAAATGTTAACTTGATATTTCAGACAATAAGTTGTAAACATATTCGAGAACATATCACTGCATTCCTAGTTAGTGATTAGTTTTGCAATAAATCTCAATGAAAATAATATATAGTATACTTTTTCTATTATCAATTGATGCTTGCTTGAGGAATATACAATTATTGACCATTTTGTATTATTTATTCCAGTAGACTCTTCCAACTCGTCGAATATACTCACACACTTTGAGGCAGAAATTGTTGTCCGACTTTTTTAAAAGATGCTTCCGAGTTACCATTAGATTTTTTGCAAACATAAATATCAAGACAAACAACTGTAGACATATTCTACCTTATATACCAGCATTGTGAGTTGTGAATTATTTTTGTTGAAAATATTGACGAAAAATTAGTGGTCACGTAAAACAAATCACATGCAAAAGCAATTTCGAATACAAACAAGTTTTTCTATTGGGAGGAAAGTTTCAATAAACTTCGAAAATATTGACAAAATTTGATGTAAAATTGATCAGTACTTCTAGCAAAAGGTTTTGCCAATGTACAACAGAAATGTAAACTTTAAGTTTCAAAACAAATTCAAGCTGATATAACCAAATTCTTATTTGTTGATTTTTTCAAAACAAACCTTAATGAAAACAATATATAATATATAATTGTTTACAATAAGCAGTGATGGCTTGCATAAGCAAAACACAATTATTGACGAGTTTTTATCATTAATTCCAGGAAAATCTTCAAACTCGTCAAATATACGAACAAAATCAGAGACAATAATTTCCGCGACTTTTTAAACAGGTATATCCGAATGACCGTTAGAAAAAAATGGAAACATCAAGATCAAGATAATCAACTGTACTTTGAGGCAGAAATTGTTGTCCGACTTTTTTAAAAGATGCTTCAGAGTTACCGTTAGATTTTTTGCAAACATGATAATAATAATAATAATAATAATAATAATAATAATAATAATAATAATAAATTCTTTATTTTCAGAAGGTAACACAGATAACAAAACAGTCAATCCACCCCATGGTCTTCTACATCTACATGATATATTTATACATACACAAAGATAAACAAAACAAAATGCTATTACACTACATGTGTACAAGATCACATACATAGTACAGATAGACCAATACTACTGACATGAAAAAAGTATGACTACAGTAAAGTTATAGCATTTTAACTACAAAAAAATCTCTTCTTGTATATTTAAGAGATAAGATTGACAGTTAGCTTTCAAAATATTTACACTTTTACTTTCTTTCAAATTTAAAGGCAAAGAATTCCACAACAAGGTGCCAGAATACTTAAAAGTTCTTTTACCATAATTAGTTCCATATCGTTGAACGAATATATTATGTTGGGTAGATAATCTTAATGCATATTCATTAACAGTTGAACAGCTTGAAAATAGTTCAGATAAATAATCAGGTGCTAGATTATTCATACACTTATATATCATCACTACATAAAATATTTAATTCTATTATAAATGGTAAGACATCCTTATTCTTTAAACATAATCGACGAGGAGATATCATGCCTTACATTCAAAATTATTCTTGCTGCCCGCTTTTGTAACTTACATAGCTTTTCAATATTAGTTTTTGAAGCATTTTCCCACACGAAACAGCAGAAATCCATGACTGAGAGTATATATCCATTATAAAAAAGTTTAATAGAACTTACAGGAAGTTATGCTTTGAGTCTGCTCATAAGATGCAGTCTGCTTACAATTACTACACAGAGTTTGTCAATTTGATGTTTCCACGAAAGAGATTGATCTATGTGGATTTCTAGCAGTTTTTGGTTATGAACGACGTCTATTTTGTGTTCATCGTCAAATTTGATATTTAATTCTGATTCAAAAGGATTTAGTCTATAAGAACAAATTAACATGACATCAGTCTTATCACTATTCAATATCATATCATTATCATTACACCAATTCATAACATTACAAAAATCTACATTCATAAATACATTTAAATCTGTTACCGATCTAGATGATTTATATAAAGTTGTATCATCAGCAACAAAGCTCTGAAGAAAAATTTTCAAGCACAAATAAGTGATAAATCATTGATAAATATTATAAAAAGTAAAGGTCTTAATATGAAAGCTTGTGGTACTCCTATTTGAATCTCTCCGAAATATCATTGATCATTACCTTCTGAAATCGTCCTGATAAATAAGAATTGAATAAACATTAAGACAAACAACTGTACACATATTCTACCTTATATACCTGCATTTTGAGTTGTGAAATATTTTTGTTAAAAATATTGACGAAAATTTAGTGGTCACGTAAAACAACTCACATGCAAAAGCAATTTCGAATACAAACAAGTTTTTCCATTACGAGGACAGTCTCAATAAACGTCGAAAATATTGACAAAATTTGATGAAAAATTGATCTGTACTTCAAGCAAAAGGTTTTGCCAATAAACATCAGAAATGTAAATTTTAAATTTCAGACAATAACTTATGAACAAATTCTTAGTTGTTAATTTTTTCAAAACAAATTTTAATGAAAACAATATATAGTATGCAAATTTTATAATAAACAGTTATGGCTTGCATAAGCAAAACATAATTATTGACGCGTTTGTATCATTAATTGCTTGAAAATCTTCAAACTCGTCGAATATACGAACAAAATCAGAGACAAAAATTTCGGCGGTCTTTTTTAACAGGTATATCCGAATGACCGTTTAAAAAAACATGGAAACATCAAGATCAAGATAATCAACTGTACATATATTCTACCTAATATAACTGCGTTGTGAGGTGTAAACTATCTTTGTTGAAAATATTGACCTAAAATACATGGTCAAGTAAAACAATCACATGCATAAGCAATTTAGAATGAAAGAACGGTTGTTTATGGCGAGGAAAGTCTAAAAAAAATTCGAAACTAGTGACAAAACTTACAAACAGTGGATCAGCGCTTTTATGAAAAGGTGTTTCTAATGAACATTAAAATGTTAACTTGATATTTCAGACAATAAGTTGTAAACATATTCAGGCAAATGTAACTGCATTCTTAGTTATTGATTAGTTTTGCAATAAATATCGATGAAAAAAATATATAATATACTTTTTTAGAGTATAAATTGATGCTTCCTTGAGCAATATACAATTATTGACCATTTTCTATCATTAATTCCAGTAGACTCTTCAAATTCATCGAATATATTAATGCCAAATTTGACGCAGAAATTGTTGTCCGACTTTTTTAACAGATGCTTCCGAGTTACCATTACATTATATCCAAACATAAATATCAAAACAAACAACTGTACACATATTCTACCTTATATACCAGCATTGTGAGTTGTGAATTATTTTGTTGAAAATATTGATGAAAAATTAGTGGTCACGTAAAACAAATCACATGCAAAAGCAATTTCGAATACAAACAAGTTTTTCTATTGCAAGAAAAGTCTCAATAAACGTCGATAATATTGACAAAATTTGATGAAAAATTGATCAGTACTTCTAGCAAAAGGTTTTGCCAATGAACATCAAAAATGTAAACTTTAAGTTTCAGACAATAATTTATAAGCTAATTCAAGCTGATATAACCATATTTTTAGTTGTTGATTTTTTCAAAACAAATCTTAATGAAAACAATTTATAGTATATAAGTTTGAAAATACACAGTGATAGCTTGCATAAGCAAAACACAATTATTGACGAGTTTGTATCATTAATTCCAGGAAAATAACCAAACTCGTCGAATATACGAACAAAATCAGAGACAAAAATTTCGGCGTTTTTTTTAACAGGTATATCCGAATGACCGTTAGAAAAAAATGGAAACATCAAGATCAAGATAATCAACTGTACAAATATTCCAACTAATATAACTGCGTCGTGAGGTGTAAATTATCTTTGTTGAAAATATTGACCTAAAATAAGTGGTCACGTAAAACAATCACATGCTTAAGCAATTTCGAATAAAAGAACGTTTTTCTATGGCGAGGAAAGTCTAAAAGAAAATCGAATCTTAGTGACAAAATTTACAAACAATGGATCAGCGCTTTTATGAAAAGGTGTTTCCAGTGAACTCTAAAATGTTATCTTGATATTTCAGAATATAAGTTGTAAACATATTCGGGCAAATATAACTGCATTCTTAGTTAGTGATTAGATTTGCAATAAATCTTAATGAAAATAATATTTAGTATAATTTTTTTTCTATTATCAATTGATGCTTGCTTGAGCAATATACAATTATTGACCATTTTTTATTATTAATTCCAGTAGACTCTTCAAACTCGTGGAATATACTCACAAAATTTGACGCAGAAATTGTTGTTCGACTTTTTTAAAAGATGCTTCCGATTTACCATTAGATTTTATGCAAACATAAAGATCAAGACAAACAACTGTACACATATTCTACCTTATATACCAGCATTGTGAGTTGTGAATTTTTTGTTGTTGCAAATATTGACGAACAATTAGTGGTCACGTTAAACAAATCACATGCAAAAACAATTTCGAATACAAACAAGTTTTTCTATTGCGAGGAAAGTCTCAATAAACGTCGAAAATATTGACAAAATTTGATGAAAATTTAATCAGCACTTCTAACAAAAGGTTTTGCCAATAAACCTCAAAAATGTAAACTTTAAGTTTCAGACAATAATTTATAAACAAATTCAAGCTGATATAACCAAATTCTTAGTTGTTGATTTTTTCAAAACAAATCTTAATGAAAACAATATATAGTATACAAGTTTTACAATAAACAGTGCTGGCTTGCATAAGCAAAACACAATTCTTGACGAGTTTTTATCATTAATTCCAGGAAAATCTTCAAACTCGTCGAATATACGAACAAAATCAGAGACAATAATTTCGGCGACTTTGAAAACAGGTATATGCGAATGACCGTTAGAAAAAAATGGAAACATCAAGATCAAGATAATCAACTGTACAAATATTCTACCTAATATAACTGCGTTGTGAGGTGTAAATTATCTTTGTTGAAAATGTTGACCTAAAATGAGTGGTCACGTAAAACAATCACATCCATAAGCAATTTCGAAAAAAAGAACGTTTTTCTATGGCGAGGAAAGTCTAAAAAAAAATCGAAACTAGTGACAAAATTTACAATTAATGGATCAGCGCTTTTATGAAAAGGTGTTTCCAATGAACATTAAAATGTTAACTTGATATTTCAGACAATAAGTTGTAAACATATTCGGGCTAATATAACTGCATTCTTAGTTAGTGATTAGTTTTGCAATAAATCTCAATGAAAATAATATATAATATACTCTTTTTCTGTTATCAATTGATGCTTGCTTGAGGAATATACAATTATTGACCATTTTTATTATCAATTCCAGTAGACTCTTCAAACTCGTCGAATATACTCATAAAATTTGACGCAGAAGTTGTTGTCCGACTTTTTTAAAAGAAGCTTCCGAGTTACCATTAGATTGTATGTAAACATAAAGATCTAGACAAACAACTGTACACATATTCTGCCTTATATACCAGCATTGTGAGTTGTGAATTATTTTTGTTGAAAATATTAACGAAAAACTAGTGGTCACGTAAAACAAATCACATGCAAAAGCAATTTCGAATACAAACAAGTTTTTCTATTGCGAGGAAAGTCTCAATAAACGTCGAAAATATTGACAAAATTTGATGAAAAATTGATCACACACATCTAGCAAAAGGTTTTGCCAATGAACCTCAAAAATGTAAACTTTAAGTTTCAGACAATAATTCAAGCTGATATAACCAAATTCTTAGTTGTTGATTTTTTCAAAACAAATCTTAATGAAAATAATATATAGTATACAAGTTTTACAATAAACAGTGATGGCTTGCATAAGCCAAACACAATTATTGACGAGTTTTTATCATTAATTCCAGGAAAATCTTCAAACTCGTCGAATATACGAACAAAATCAGAAACAAAAGTTTCGGCGACTTTTTTAACAGGTATATCCGAGTGACCGTTAGAAAATAAATGGAAACATCAAGATCAAGATAATCAACTGTACAAATATTCTACCTAATATAACTGCGTTGTGAGGTGTAAATTATCTTTGTTGAAAATGTTGACCTAAAATAAGTGGTCACGTAAAACAATCACATGCATAAGCAATTTCGAATACAAACAAGTTTTTCTATTGCGAGGAAAGTCTTAATAAACGTCAAAAATATTGACAAAATTTGATGAAAAATTAATCAGCACTTCTAGCAAAAGGTTTTGCCAATGAACCTCAAAAATGTAAACTTAAGTTTCAGACAATAATTCAAGCTCATACATGTACAACTAAATTCTTAGTTGTCGATTTTTTCAAAACAAATCGTAATGAAAACAATATATAGTATACAAGTTTTACGATAAACAGTGATGGCTTGCATAAGCAAAACACAATTATTGAAGTGTTTTTATCATTAATTCCAGGAAAATCTTCAAACTCGTCGAATATACGAACAAAATCAGAGACAATAATTTCGGCGACTTTTTAAACAGGTATATGCGAATGACCGTTAGAACAAAATGGAAACATCAAGATCAAGATAATCAACTGTACAAATATTCCAACTAATATAACTGCGTTGTGAGGTGTAAATTATCTTTGTTGAAAATGTTGACCTAAAATAAGTGGTCACGTAAAACAGTCACATGCATAAGCAATTTCGAATAAAAGAACGTTTATCTATGGCGAGGAAAGTCTAAAAATAATTCGAAACTAGTGATAAAATTTACAACAGTGGATCAGCGCTTTTATGAAAAGTTGTTTCTAATGAACATTAAAATGTTAACTTGATATTTCAGACAATAAGTTGTAAACATATTCGGGCAAATATAACCGCATTCTTAGTTAGTGATCAGTTTTGCAATAAATCTCAATGAAAATAATATATAGTATACTTTTTTCTATTATCAATTGATGCTTGCTTGAGCAATTTACAATTATTGACCATTTTTTATTATTAATTCCAGTAGACTCATCAAACTCGTCGAATATACTCACAAAATTTGACGCAGAAATTGTTGTCCGACTTTTTTAACAGATGCTTCAGAGCTACCGTTAAATTATATGTAAACATAAAGATTAAGACAAACAACTGTACTATTGTGATCAAAATTCGTTTTTTTAAATAAATAAATAATTTTGTAGTTGCACGCTTTCTTTGAAATTAAATTGCATTATGGTGTAATGTTTAAGGTGTATGGTGCAAAGGTGTAACGTGCATGGTGTAATGGCACAGGGTGTATGGTGTAATGGTGTATGGTGAATGGTGTAATGGCACAGGGTGTATGGTGTAATGGTGTATGGTGAATGGTGTAATGGTGTATGGTGTTAGTGGGAAGTTTACACCATCCAAGGACTGTATTCTACCTTATATACCTGCATTATGAGTTTTGATTTATTTTTGTTGAAAATATTGACGGAAAATTAGTGGTCACATAAAACAAATCACATGCAAAAGCAATTTCGAATACAAACAAATTTTTCTATTACGAGAAAGTCTCAATAAACGTCGAAAATATTGGCAAAATTTGATGAAAAATTTATCAGCGCTTCTAGCAAAATGTTTTGCCAATGTAAATCAGAACTGTAAACTTTAAGATTTAGACAATAATTTGTAAACACATTCGAGCTAATATAACGAAATTCTTAGTTGTTGATTTTTTCATAACAAATCTTAATGAAAAAATATAAAGTATACAATTTTGACAATAAATAGTGATGGCCTGCATAAAAGCAAAGCACAAGTATAGATGAGTTTTTATCCTTAATTTCAGAAAAATCTTCAAACTCGTCGAATATACAAACAAAACCAGAGACAAAAATTTCGGCGACTTTTTTTAACAGGTATATGCGAATGACCGTTAGGAAAAATGGAAACATCAAGATCAAGATAATCAACTGTACAAATATTCTACGTTATATAACTGCGTTTCGAGGTGTAAATTATCTTTGTTGACAATATTGACCTAAAATGAGTGGTCACGTAAAACAATCACATGCATAATCAATTTCGAATAAAAGAACGTTTTTCTATGGCGAGGAAAGTCTAAAAAAAATCGAAACTAATGACAAAATTTACAAACAATGGATCAGCGCTTTTATGAAAAGGTATTTCCAATGAACATTAAAATGTTAACTTGATATTTCAGACAATAAATTGCAAACATATTCGGGCAAATATAACTGCATTCTTAGTTAGTGATTTTTTTTGCAATAAATTTCAATGAAAATAATATATAGTATACTTTTTTCTATTATAAATTGATACTTGGTTGAGCAATATACAATTATTGACCATTTTTTATTAATAATTCCAGTAAACTCTTCAAACTCGTCGAATATACTCACAAAATTTGACGCAGAAATTGTTGTCCGACTTTTTCAACAGATGCTTCCAAGTTATCGTTAGATTATATGTCAACATAAAGATCAAGACAAACAACTGTACACATATTCTACCTTATATACCAGCATTGTGAGTTGTGAATTATATTCGTCGAAAATATTGACGAAAAATAAGTGGTCACGTATAACATATGACACGCAAAAGCAATTTCGAAAACAAACAAGTTTTCTATTGCGAGGAAAACCCCAATAAACGTCGAAAATATTGACCAAATATTATGAAAAATGGATGAGCGCTTTTATGAAAATGTGTTTCCAATTAACATTAAAATGTTAACTTGATATTTCAGACAATAAGTTGTTAACACATTCGGTCAAATATAACTGCATTCTTAGTTATTGATTATTTTTGCAAAAAATCTGAATGAAAAAAAATATATAGTATACTCTTTTTACAATAAAAAGTGATAGCTTGCATAAGCAAATCACAATTATTGACAAGATTTTATCATTAATTCCAGGAAAATCTTTAGACCCGTCTAATATACTAACAACATCAGAAGCAAAAATTTCGGCGACTTTTTTAACAGATGCTTCCGAGTTACAGTTAGATTATATGTAAACATAAAGATCAAGACAAACACTTGTACACATGTTCTACCTTATATACCTGCATTGTGAGTTTTGAATTATATTCGTTGTAAATATTGACGAAACATTATTGGTCAATAGAGGAAACTCTCAATAAACGTCGAAAATAAAAATTTGATGAAAAATTCATTGGCGCTTCTAGCAAGAAGTTTTGCCAATGAACATCAAAAATGTAAACTTCAAGTTTTTGCAATAATTTAACACATTCGAGGTAATATAACCAAATTCGTAGATGTTGTTTTTTTCAAAACAAATCGTAATGAAAAAAATATATAAGATACTCTTTTTACAATAAAAAGCTCTTATATGCAACTAAAGGTATGTTAAATTTTTCAGCACAAGTCAGGATAAGGTATAGTTTTGACATGGATTGAGTGCCACTCTATTTGAACTTAAGACAGAGTAACTATTAATGCTTGAAATTGCAGAATTTAACATAGAAAGCAATGGGGTTTTATAAATATTACTGAACAGCATGTGAAATTCAAATTTTAGAAAAGCATACTCCATTACATGACAATCTAGCTGGGAGATGCATAAATTGCCCTTGTTGATCGATGTTTTATATAAAGTATGATTTTTACCAAAACACACTCATTTTCCAATATGCAGAAAAATGTGCGGACAAAATTCTCAATTATAATTTATGTTTAGACCGCTATATTTATATTTAATGAACAATCTTTGTTACAAATAAGGCATATAGGAAAGAACATCGTTATTTGAGTAGATATTAACAAATAAGAACCGGCAAATGTTGGAAAAGTTTCATATTGATCACTATTATTTTCCATATGGAGTTTCCTTTGTATAACTCGTATGTTACTACCAGTCTAACTTGAGCTTAAATTCAGTGTTATAGTGTTTCGACAAAAGCTTTATGTGTTTTTCTATGCTAGAAATTGTTAATAGAAGGAAATTAAGTAAAGCAGAAATCAATATAGCAAGTTTTGTGCTGTTGTAGGTATAGAACCATCAATTCGGTCCCGGTCAGAAAGGACATACAAGAAAGTAGTACAATTTTAAACAAAATAGTTCCTACGCACAGCTGTAACTTTATCAACAAGTTAAATCATTGGGTAATTGTGTTATCAAATGAAAGCTTAGGGACTTGGTATCAACGTACAACCCTTGTTGAAACTTTCTTTTGATTAATAAAAAAAATGTATAAAATTTCAAAAGGAAGGCATAATTGCCCTGTTGTTCAGATCAGAAGTACCTGTTTTCTGCCTTTTGGTTGGGTTGTTGTCTCTTTGACACATCCCCAATTTCTTTTCTCAATTTTATACTATGGTATAACAGTATCAAATCTATGGATTAAGTATGATAGCATTTTCATTAATTTAATGATAGTAGTAATAGTAGTGCAAGAACATATATGTACATGCATATCATATAGCAGTATACATATACTTTCAAATATACATATACACATAAGATATACACATATGTTTATGGATTTACACCATTAAAATTTAATCAGTGACCTTAGCCCAGGGGTTCCAATACAAGTTGTGTTCTTCAACACTCAAATATTTTGAGGAAATGTGTTTTTCTAAGATCAAGTTTTCTTTAATGTAATTTTGATGTCCTTTTATATGAGGTTTTACATCTTGCATCTTAGATCTGTAAATGAAGTACTTGGTCAGTAAAATTACTTTGTTTTTGATAAAATTCAATTGATAATTTTCATAGAGGCCAAGAATGACAACATCCATATTCAGTGGTATTTCGATATGCACTATAACGAAAATCCAAGAATTCAGATTTTGCCAACTGTCGGCTACAATATGACAACCCCAAAGTAAATGTTCTATAGATTCTGGCTCTTCCTTGCAAAATGTACATAAATTACAGTTTACAAGGTTCATTTTCAAGAGTAGAGCGTTTGTACCCAAAATATAATGAATAATTCTATATTGAAACCAACATGACTTCGTGTTTTTTGAAACCTTGGTAACACAAAAGTGTATTTTTTCCAATTATCTACAACCTTATTGAGAATACCGTCCAATTTTTTTTTTCTACTTCAAAATCTAGAGGTATAGTACCTTGGTTTGAAATAGTATACATGTCCTTTGAACCCTTTTCTGACTTGTAGAAAATATTATTATTAATAGGTATAATTGCTAAGCCTTGTTGTTTTTTCTCTCTTTCAGTGTTGATTCCAATGGCTTGTAACCACTTTTTTTGTGCTAGTTTAAGCCCATAAAACTGTAGAAACATGGGTTTGAAATTATCGATTCTTTCAAAATTTGTATATGTTACTATATTTCCATGTTTATCTAACAGGTCATTTACAGTCCATACTCCATGATGTGCCCAAATTTATAGTAAACGCTAACATTATCAATTTTAATATGCTCATTATTTCATATAGATGCCGAAATGACTTCCCCAAAATGACAAGGACGTCTGAGTGTTGACATATTTTCCAGGCATTAAAAGCTTCATCCCAAAATTAGTTTTTTGATATTTTAATGATTCCAAAATAAGCCAACTCTGTAATATTTATATTTTGTGTGGAGGTTAATAATTGTATCCATTTAGATTTTGACTGTAATAATTTTCTAACCCAAGTAAGTTTTAACCCTTGTATAAAATTTCTCAAATTTCTCATTTTTAGGTCCCCTCTATAGTATTCTTGACATAGAAGATCCCGCTTTATCTTGCCAGTCTTATCATCTCAAATGAATGAATAAATTTTACTATTAAGTTGACGTATAATATTATAATCTGGACCTGGGATGGACAGGAACAGATGATTAAATTTTGATATAATTAGAGACTTTATAATTGTTATTTTACCAAACGGGGTAAGTGACTGTTTTGACCATTTTTGTAAAAATATTTTCCATTTCTGTATTCGAAGAGCATAATTTAGGTTTAACATTCTATCCAAATCAACACAGAAAGTGATACTCAATAATTTGAATGTACTGGAACCCCACTTCAACATTCCAGCAGCGCCTGCATACAGAGTATATATCTCCTAATTGATACGATATTCCCGGGCTTGTGTTTCCTATCATGATTTCCTTGATAGAGGATTGCTGCTCACAAGGAAGCTATTAATCCAAGAGTTCCAAATGGTGAAGTTGAAGTCATCCCTTCGTAAATTTTACGGACGCCATCTCGAGTTGGTTGAACGTTATGGAATAACCGTTTCACAAATGATATCGGATATGTTCCTTCTGTCGTAACTACAAAACCCTCCCTTTTCCGAATCAGACTATTTACCGGATTTGTAATAACAAAAGCAACACGACGGGTGCCACATGTGGAGCAGGATCTGCTTACCATTCCGGAGCACCTGAGATCACCCCCAGTTTTTGGTGGGGTTCGTGTTGCTTAGTCTTTTGTTTTCTATGTTGTGTCATCTGTACTATTATTTGTCTGTTTGTCTTTTAATTTTTGGCCATTGCGTTGTCAGTTTGTTTTTGATCTATGAGTTTGACTGTCCCTCTGGTATCTTTCGTCCCTCTGGTATCTTTCGTCCCTCTTTCAGTCCCCACTTTACACATATTTTGTTTTGACTGTCTTTTACTACCTATCAATATCACGTTTGTTTTGTCTAAATTAATTTTAAGTCCTGATATCTCAGCATAGAATTGTAATATACGGAGGAATGTATCCAGTGAGGAAGGCGATCCATCTAAAATAAGTGATGTGTCGTCTGCATATTGAGACAAGATATACTCTGAATCATCTATCGTAATACCCTTTATCTCATCACTATTTCTTACTAAAATGCCTAATATTTCTGCACATAGCAAGAACATGTAAGGAGACAAAGGATCCACTTGTCTACAGCCTCTCTCCACACGGAAAAGGTCTGACAGACAACAATTCTAGGTGACAGTAGATGTAATGTCATTGTAAAATGATTTTATCCAGCTCATAATGTTATCTACAAAAAAAAATACTTAAGTGTTTCAAAGAGAAATGCCCATGATATAGAGTCAAAGGCCTTTTCAAGATCAATAAGTTATAATATACCAGGAATATCATTTTCTTCTGTAAAGTGTAAAATATCATATATAAGTCTACAGTTCCCCCCCCCCCCCCCCCCCAATAAATCTACTCGGGATAAAGCCTGTTTGATCAGAGTCAGTAATTTTGTTTAGAACTGACTTTATCCTCTCAGATGTATAACTAGAAGCTAGTTTATATGTGTTCAAAAGTGTAATTGGACGCCAATTCTTTATAAACTGTTTTGACTTGCCTTCTTTTGGAATACATGTGATAACTCCCTCCCTCTGTGTGACAGACATCCCCCCTATTTGATATGCATAATTTATTGACCTCAAGACAAACTTTCCAATGTCTATCCAAAATACTTTCTTATATCCTGCAGTAAAACCGTCTGACCCAGGACTTTTATTATTTTTCATCCTCATTAAAGCTTGAGTTAATTCAGTAAAGGAAATGTTACCTTCTAAGGATTCTTTTTCGTTATCTTTTAATTTAGATGTCAAAAATGGTAATTCCCTTGATAAATGTACTTTTTTAAGACATTCTTGTCTTTTGTAAAGTTTATCATAAAATATTTGTGATTGTTTTAAGATTTCTATTTGATTTTCTACTACAGTATTTTCATCGATTACTAGTCTTTTAATAGTTTTATTGACAAAATTTTGTGTTTCTAAATTACAAAAGAAATTAGTTGGCCTCCCTCCTTCTTCAATCCATTGAGTTCTTGACCTAACATATTGACCTTTAACCCTTTTTCTGTCTTAAAATTCTAAGTTGACATTTTTTGGCTTCTATTTCATCAAGATTGTCCTCTGTGCTTACCTTTTTTTCTAGTTTTTGTATCTCATCAGTCAGCTGGATTTCCTGTTTTATCCTTTCTCTTTTTATAAATGTTGAGTATGAAATAGTCATACCTCTAATCTCAATGAGAAGGGTCTCCAAAAATAATTGGTCATTAATTGCAAATTGGATATCTAAATTATCAATACCAACCCCTCGAAACCGTTCAAAAACAACCAGGAGAATCACACAAGCAATTTGAAAAATCACGTGAAGTTCGCGAATTATTTTGGATAAAAAGACTTCAAACAGCTTATCCTCTCGGTCTCAATGACAAAATATCAAGACAGGAAAACATATCAAAAACTTCTATCGATGTCATTAATATTGTTGGTAAATGACTTAGAAATAATAGGTCTCATGGTAAACGCAAAAACCGTAATCAACATATTAAAAATCGTATAAATTATACACTTGCTGACCTGTTATCTATAATGAAAAATAATGGCAAACATCAAGTATTATGCAAACTGGGTCAGATACCAATAAGTAAATTATATGCTATTTTTCTGGAGTGTGATAAAATTTCATTTTTCAGCCCGTTTTATGAATACACCCGTATTATTACAGCCTGTTGTCAGCACAGGCTGTTTCCTAGTATCGATAAACCTGAAAATCATAAACGACATTTTCTTAAATTAAAATATATAAATAAAGGTATTGATTTTATTAACTTATCTAGCATATTCAATGACTCTCCCGTCTATAGCCAAATACCTCCATATTTTTATAATATAGAACCACCCATTATTTCGTATTCTTATAAAAAACCGAGCAGAAGTTTGATTTTTAATTATACGTCAGTTACATCCGACGTAAATATAGAAAATAATGTTCCTTCTACTTGAGACTGTGAAACATCTAGTTTTAGATATGGTCCCTATGGTCATGTTATTACAGGAGACATCAACATCGTCGAAGACCGTGAGGTCAAAACTTTTCCAAAGAAAGGACCGAAATACCGTCCTCCATCTATAATAGATTGGAAACAGTGTCGTCAGGTCATTAAAGACGCTATGTCTGCCTACTGTAAAAATTGGTGCAAACGTGAAAAATCGGTTAAAAATTCTTTAGACAGTTATTTAAATAAAATTATGAATACTGTTAATATTCGAATATCTCATTTTGAAAACAATTCTGAAATTAATAATAGGGTCCATGATATCCCCATTTCTAGAATAAAAAATAAACTCCAAGTACTCGCAGAGCGGTTTGTGTTCGTACCGGCAGACAAGGCAGCCAATAATGTAGTGGTGGTATGACGCATATAATACACTTAAGTTCTTCAAAACGAAATTATTAATTCCTCTACATTCAGGTCCATACGCACCACTGAGAGTCAAATCGTGAACAAGCATATCACTGCCACTACCCAGCTTAAAGCCTCTTCCGAACATTTGAAAGTCCCTACCATGTACTGGTTACCGAAATTACACAAAAAACCATTTAAATTCCGTTTCATCTACGCATCTAGTAAGTGTTCTACTTCTAATATATCAGTGCTTCTTACTACCTCCCTTACTACTATCAAAGAACTGGTTATTAACTTTTGTAATAAAGCTTATGAAAATAATGATATTAATTATTTTTGGAGTGTTAAAAATTCTTTAGAGGTTTTAGATAAAATACATGCTTTTGATGGTCCTTTTGGTTCTGTTGACAGTAATGATTTTTGTACTCTCTACACAACACTTCCACACAATCTAATAATGAAAAAATTTTCATATTTAATAAAATGGTCTTTCGAAAAATCTCATTGTAAATTTATTTGCTGTAACTCGTTTAAAGCCTTTTTCTGTGACGAAAAAGGAAAGTATGCTAGATACACTTACTGGAATGTGAGGATATGATTGAAGCTTTAAATGTTCTCCTAGATAACATATATGTACGTTTCGGCGATAAAGTGTATCGTCAGGTAGTAGGTATTCCTATGGGCACTAACTGAGCCCCTTTAATAGCAGATTTATTCCTGTATTGCTACGAATCTCGGTTTATGACTAAACTTAGTAGAGACACATCATTGTTACATTTTGTTGATACATTCAACAATACCTACCGTTATCTGGATGATTTTTTTTCGTTAAATAATCCAGAGTTCTCTAAATATACTACCGAAATTTACCCAAAAGAACTTACTTTAACTAAAACTTACATAAACAGCAGCAGTTGTCCTTTTCTAGATTTAGACATTTCAATTTCTCAAGGGACACTCCATACCAAAATTTACGACAAAAAAGACGATTTTTCATTCCCTATTGTTAATTTTTCTTTTTTAGACGGCGATGTGCCTTTGGCTCCATCATACGGTGTTTATATATCCCAACTCGTTCGGTATGCCCGTGTGTGTAGTGATGTCATAGATTTTAACGAACGTAATCAATGCATCACTGGTAAATTATTAAGTCAGGGATTTCGTTACCATAAATTACTTAAAACTTTTACTAAATTCTTTCATAGATACAAAGATTTGATTAGTAAATTTGGCTTTACCTGTAGAAAACTTATTAAAAATGGTATTTCACATCCTAAATTTTATGGTAATATTGTATTTGAAGCGCGGAAATCATTATGTGATCCGTGTAAACTCATCGAACCTTTAAACAAACTTATTAGTAAGGGTTAGCGTACCAATGTTGTAATTAGATCTCTGAATATAGTTTAAATTTGCACTTATATCGATTTTGTCATTAGCAAATTAAAACATAACTAAATTTGTATTTTCTTTTCAAACGGGATGTATAGAGACACACACACGTTCATTTTTATCTATAAAGAAGTCACTCCTAACTATCCTACTACCTGTCGATACATCTATTTTTGGCATTGCACAAGTCATGTCTTCTTTGACTGTTCATGACGTTAAAATACTAAATCCCTGGGATGTATTTTAGTTGATTTTAGTCTCTGATGCATGCTTTTTTATTATTAATTGTTTTGGCTTTTAACTAGCTGTCAGTAACTGCGAG